TTTCACATCTGATACTTCTTGATGAAACAGAGGAGCCTTGTCTTATAACAAGCTTATTCAAAGTGATACAAGCTACGAAAGTGAGATCTTGGAAGAGTGTTGCCATTTTCATAATGTCATAAAAATAGTGTAATGATAAATAATAATTAATAATAGTGATAATATGCATGTCATAAAAACAATTTTTATATTTCCAAGATCACTGCTTTTATAATTTATACTCAGGTAAAAGAGAAAATCCCTGGAAATATTCATTTTTAGGAGGGGGTTTGCGAGACGACATTTTGGTGAAAGGGGTTCACAGGTTGTTAAAGTCTGGGAACCACTGACCTAGTCCAATGGAGTCCTGACCCCGGTTCTGGGCACCATTGCAATAGTTAAATAATAACGGATAAAACTGAAAAGGGCCTGCACAGTGTCTGCCTCACTAGTCTGAAGCTAGTAATTGGGTAAATAGTCTGCATTTACGCTTTCAACCATATATACATATATATAACATCCCAAACTCTTCCTGTGATTTTCAAAGCACTATTGGTGGAGGGGCTCTGGCTATGGAATGAACTTCCAGAGGAGATTAGGTGAAGCCAGAGTCTAACTGGCTTTTGAAAACACTCCAGAACCTTCGTCTTTGAAAAAAATCTTTCCACCATACAGAGAGAGAGAGGCAGAGTTTTTATCTGCAAGGGAGAAGAGCCAGAGATGCTGTGAAATCCACTCAGGATGCTCTTGCTATTGATTTAATGTTGAAGATGCACAGATACCATGGTGATGGGTGACAGTATAAAGCCCTAAAACAGATAGATTATTAATATAGAGAGTAGTTTTAGTAGCGTACTCTCTGAGTTCCCATAGTTTATCATGTACCATTATATGAAAGCCATAAGTATGGGTACACACTTAGGGCCAGATCTGCAGCCCTTAAGGCTGCTTTGCACTGCTCCAGTGGTGCATAACAGCTGGAAAGCCAAGCGCAAGGGGAACCCTCAGGTGATGGAAAGCCAGTGCTCTACCAACCCCTCTTCTAGCCGCTAGCATAGGGAACACGTTAGAAGTGTCACCAAGGAAAAGTGAGTGTGGCCAGAGTACCATTGTGGTATGACTATTCTCAGATACCAGCATGGCCCATTGAAGGCTATTGCAGTCAGATACATGTTAGATGAGTCTTGAGCCTCATGAATACCTGCAAACTGAAAATGTGTTGTGGTGCTCAGTTGTAACCAGGCCATGAATCAAAGGTGATCTGCAAGATGTTGCAGGTGTGCAGGCACATCTCTTAATATGGGAGGCAACTTCATCAATCATCCATGTTATCAAAAAACATTAATGAGGACTTTGCTATTGTAATCAATGCATACTTTTTGGAGCACTTAGAATAACAGAAATGTAGGGCTGGAAGGGACCTCGAGAGATCATCAAATCCAGCCCCTGTGCTGAGGTAGGACCAAATACAACTAGAGCAGCCCTGACAGGTGTTTGTCTAACATGTTCTTAAAAATCTCCAATGATGGGGATTCCACAACCTCCTTTGGAAGCCTGTTAGAGTGTTTATAGTCAGAAAGATTTCCTAATATCTAAACTAAATCTCCCTTGATGCAGATTAAACCCAGTATTTCTTGTCCTACCTTCAGTGGACATGGAGAACAATTGATCACTATCCTTTATAACAGCCCTTAACAGTTTTGAAGACTATTATCAGGTTCCTCCTCAGTCTTCATTTCTCAAGACTAAAGATGCTCAGTTTTTAAAATCTTTTTTTCATAGGTCAGGTTTTCTAAACCTTTTATCATTTTTGTTGCTCTCCCTGGATTCTCTCCAATTTGTCCACGTCTTTCCTAAAGTGTGGCACACAGAATTGGGCACAATACTCCAGCTGAGGCCTTGCCAGTGCCTTGTACAGCATGACTCCTGTGTTTTACATACAACACTCCTGTTAATACACCCCAGAATGGTATTGACCTTTTGTGTAACTGCATCACATTGTTGACTCATATTCAAGTTGTGATCCACTATAATCCTCAGATTCTTTTCAGCAGTATTACCACCTAGCCAGCTATTCCTCATTTTGTAGTTGTGTATTTGATTTTTCTTTCCTATGTATAGTACTTTGCACTTGTCTTTATTGAATTTCATCTTGTTGATTTCAGACCAGTTCTCCAGTTTGTCTAGCTTGTTTTGAATTCTAGTCCTGTCTTACAAAGTGCTTCCAACCCCTTTCTAACTTCCACATGATGAAATTTGTAAAGGCCCTCCTAATATCTGGGCAGGGATAGCTCAGTGATTTGAGCATTAACCTCCTAAATTCAGGGTTGTGAACTCAATCCTTGAGGGGGGGCACTTAGGGATCTGGGGCAAAATAAGTACTTGGTCCTGCTAGTGAAGGCAGGGGGATGGACGCAATGACCTTTCAGGGTCCCTTCCAGCTCTATGAGATAGGTATATCTAAATTAAGTTGACCAAACAGAGGTGTTTTATTTTTAAATAAAAATTTACCAAGAGCAGTAATAGAAAAATAAATGTAAAACAGTATTTAGGGCATTTCAAATGAGAGTCTTTCTTCAGATGTCTGACTGATATCCAAGCTCAAAACATCTTTCAATGTTTCATTTTTGCTCTAAATGAGAGTTGAACACCACCTAATTGCTTGGCTTTTCCCCTTCTCCAGCTACACTTAAAATCATATAGAACAGAAGCTAATAAATCAAACAAGCTTGCGCAGATTACTTCCTATTAAGATAATGAGCTAGATTCACTGGTCCACTCTGGCTGATTTGTGCTGCTCTAACATTGCACAACAGCTGCAAAGCCAGCTTGACTGGCTAGTTACACCAGATTTATGGCTGCTTTAGGTTGCAGGAGTAATTGAAAGCAGTCAGAGTGTGCTGATGAATCTGGCTTAATATCTGGATGTGTTTTTAATTACTGCTGTAAAATGGTACCTTAAACTCTTTTGTTTGTGCTTTTATAACCTTATTTCTCAGTGCACTGTTTGCAACTGGGCCTCACAATAAAAAAAAGATTCTGGAGAAAAATGTGTATGTAAACATGGGACTATTATGTACTCCTGAAAGAAACTAAACAGAAAGGGGCCTTGAACATACTGTAAACAACCCCTGCTTAGCACACACCAGAGTGGGCAAGCAGGTATTATGTAAATACTGTTTGTCTCAGAAATGTCCAGCTGCACAGTGGGAAAAATGTATTACACCTACCTGGATCTGGTGGCTGTGTTTTTTTGTTTGAGTATGTAACACTTTGATGATATTTCTATTGTTGAGTACAGGTCTGTCGTATCTTACGCGCATTTAACATGCGCGATTTCAACTTTACGCAGTCGGCAAAAACAAAAAAAACAAAAGAGAAAAACAACAATTTTAATACTATACCTGTAGTGTGGGCGATTTCGCCCACCATTGAACTCAATGGAGTTTTGGCTATACGCGGTTTTCACTTTACGCACTGACCGCGGAACGGAACCCCTGCGTAAGGTG